ATATATGTTTTTCCTACTTTATTTTCTGGCAGGTTGTTTCTGTTCTAATATTTAGATCATCAATTCTTTTTTTTTTTTTGCATATGCTGAAAGATATGAGTCTAGGTTCAAACTTCTCCATGTGGGTAGCCAGTTTCCCCTGCACCATTTGGTAAAGAAGCTATCTTTCTATATATGTTTTTGGCCACTTTGTCAAAGAAGAGTTTGTTGAATGTATCTCAAGTTGTTTTTGTATCTATTCTGTTCCATTGATCTCTGTATCTGTTTTTGTGCCAGTATTAGATGTTCTAGGTCGTAATCGTCTATCTGAGAAATAGCTGGCTGAAATTTTTTTCCCATTCCAGAGATTGTCTCCTCATTCTGGTGGTTGTTTCCTTTGCTGTGTAGAACCCTTTTAATTTGTTATGATCTCATTTGTTGATTCTTGATGTTATTTCTTATGCAGTTGATGTTCTGTTCAGAAAGCTCTTGCCTATACTAATATTTTCAAGACTTTTACCTATTTTTATTTTCTAGCAGATTCCATGCTCCTTTTTAATATTTAGGTCTTTGACTAAGTTTGACTTACTTTTAGAACAGAGTGAAAGATATATATCTAGACTCATTCTTCACATGAATAACCAGTTATCCCAGCATCATTTGTGAAAGAGGTTGTCTTTCTGGTCCCTTTATCAAAAAAATCAGGTAGCCAAATGTGATTGGGGTTGTTTCTACATTCTTCGTTCTATTAGTCAACATATCTATTTCTCTGCCACTACCAGGCTGTTTTTATCACTGTAACTTTGTAGGATAACTTGAAACCCAGGATTCTAATGCCTTCTGCTTTGCTGTTTTTGCTCAAGGTTGCTTTGGCTATTCTGGGTCTCTTCGGGTTTCATATAGGTTTTACAATTGTTGCTCTAGTTCTGTGAAGAATTTTCTCTCAAAATTATGCCTCCCTCCATTGTCTTTTGAATTTCAATGTTGAAAAATTGAAAGATACTCCCGAGTTTTGATATTTTATTAGGATATGCTTTGTTAGAGATCTGTTTTCATTCATCTATTTAAGTATCAGGGAGTCTTTTTCTTCTTTCTTTTCTTTCTTGCTTTCCTTATTAATTTTCTGGTAATACCAGGTATTGAACCCAGGGCCTTCACACTGAGCTACATCTATGGCCCATTTTATTCTTTGAGATAGGGTCTCACTAAGTCGCTAGGTTGCTCAGGTTGGCTTGATCTTACAATCCTCCCACCCCAGCTACCCAGAGTTCTAGGATTATAGATGCATGCCACCAGACTCAGTGAGCCATTTTAGTCTAGAAATTTATGTTTTTTAGTTCAAGAAATTTTTCATGAATTTTTTCCTATTTTTTCTGTTCTCTGTTATTTGGATGTTGGCCCTATTATGCTAATCTTTTTATTGTCCTTTTTTTGTTCATTCTTTTAATCTATAACTTGAGATTTGCATTTCTTTTTGTAAATGAATCTGTTCTTTTGTTATTGCAGTTATTTTATTACCTTGGAGATCATATATATATATATATATATATATAGATAGATAGATAGATAGATAGATGCTTTGTTGTTGTTGTTTTTACAGGTATGATTTCCTTTCTTGTAATAGCTTTGGATTTGGATTGTTCTTGTTTTTCTAGGATCTTGAGATGAATCACTGGGTTATTTATTTGAGCTTGCTGGTTTTCTGATGTAGGCATTCACTACTAAAAACTTCCATCTTAGGACTGCTTTCGTTGTATCCCATAAGTTCTAGTATGCTATACTGGCATTATCTATCATCTGATGGTAGGAACTGTCTAATTTCTAATTTATCCATCTGTGACTCAATTATTCAAGAAGATATTGTTTAATTTCTAGGTGTTTGCATTGTTTATGTGGTTTCTTTTGCCATTAATTTCAAGTTTTATTCCACTTTGATCTCTTATACAGAATAACTTTGATTCTTTTCAATTTACTTAAGCATGCTGTATGGACTAGTATGTGGTCGATTTTGGAGACAGTTCCTTTGCTGCTGAGAAAAATGTGTATTCTGTTATTGTTGGTTGAAACATTTTATAGATATCTACTAGGTCCATTTGTTCAAAGGTTTCATGCAGCTCCACCTTTTTTGTTGATTTTATTTAGTGTGTGTGTGTGTGTGTGTGTGTGTGTGTGTGTCTCATTGATCTGTCCACTTGAAACAGTGGGTTTTGAGTCCCCCATTACAATTGGTGTTTTCTGATTGTTCATGTACACTATTATTTGTTTTATGATATTGGATGTGCAAGTATTTGGAGTATATATGCTTATAAATTTTATCTTTTCCTTTGAATTATTTCCTTAACTAGTGTGTAGTGACCTTCTTTGTCTCTTCTGATCAGTCTTGGCTTGAAATCCACATTGTCTGAAATTAGGATTGTGACTCCTGCTTTTTTGTAGGTTCCCACTGCATGAAATATTGTTTTGCATCCTTTGATATTTACTCATCTGTTTATTAAGGTGCTAATTTTCACGAAAAATTCTTACGTCTCCATCAACTATAAAAGATAGTTTTGCAGGATATAGCAATTTGATTTGGAAGCTATTTTGTTCTAGGGCTTGAAACACTTTGAGATGTCCTGTCCTTTATAGTTTGATTAGCTAGTGTAGTGGTACATACCTATAATCGCATCACTCCAGAGGCTGAATCAGGAAGCTTGCTGGATGTTCAAGGCCAGCCTGTATTGCATAATCAGCTCAAGGTCAACCTGAACTACATAGCTAGATCCTGTCTTTAAAAAGTCAAAAACAAAATTTATAATTATAATTTTAAAATAAAGCTTTATTCAGGAGTCTGCTGTAATTCTAACAGGCCTATCTTTAAAAGTGGTTTCATGCTTTTCTCTACCAGCTTTTAAGATTCTGTTCTTGTGTTGAACCTCTGGAATTTTGACTATGATGTCTCATGGAAAGTTCTTTTCTGCTCCTGGCTATTTGAGGTTCTGTGCGCCTCATTATTTTACATGTTAAATTCTTTTCCCATATTTAGGATATTTTATGCTATCATTTTTGTAAACAGTCTTTTATGGTATTTGTGCTATCTTCTGATTTTTCATTAATTCCAATTAATCTTTGATTAATCTTTGCCTCATTTAGCAGCTATTGAATCCACTTTTCATATTTTCCTGTTGTTTTTCAGGTACCTCTAAGTATAAAGTCACCTGCGTCAGCCCTGTCTTTTAGTTTTGACACTCTGTCTTCACATTGGTCACTTCTGCTGCCCATACTCTCAGTAGAATTTTTAATCTCCTGAATTTCTGTTTAGTTTCTTTTCATGAACTCCTGATTCTTTGCTAAACTAGTCATTTATGTTTTGAATCATTAGGTTTAGCTCAGCTAGCTTATTATTAGTGTCTTCAGTAAACTGATTGTTTTGTTTATTAAGTCCATTATATGTATATCTCCTTTGAACTTGCAGAGTAGCTTATCCATCTCTTTGGGGTAGGGTTGTCTCTTCTTTTTATCATTTTTTTTAATTCAGCTGCTTGGCCTTCAATTTTCTTCCCATCAATACTCCATGGATTAACTTTGAGCAAGTTTGGAATTTTCAAAGGCATTTTGTTGCCTTGTTTTCTCATATTTACATTGGTTTTTGTATTGAGGGATGTAGTTTGATTATAATGGAAAGACTTTGCAGCTATTGTAGAGATCTTTAGTTAGCATCTGCTTTGCAGTGATGCACTCAGCACACAGCTACCTATTGGGCTTTGCTTCTGTCTCAAGTTCTGACTTGCATTAATTTGAGGAGAGGAGGGTGAATATAATTGGCACAGAACCAAATTGTCCACAAGTGAACCATAGGATTGTCAGTGATAATGAAGACAAACTAAATGCTGACATATAGTAAAACCCAGTTAATAACAGCAATTATGCCACCCTTACAGTAGCAACAAAATCGTCAGCATTAATACATAGAGTTAAAGAAAAACAAGACACTGACATACAATAAGAATCCATTAAAGCTAATATTGTACCAGCCTTAATAATAGAAAGGAGAAGCTGTAATCATAATATATACCAAGATATAAATTCATCTAGAAGGGTTCCTTCCAGTGTACTGAATCCCTGTACTGCAGCATAGGCCTTGTTAAAATAAAGTTTTATTTGGTGTCCCTTTTAAAAAAAAATAGTAGGCAGTTATGGTAGTATATGTCTTTAATTTTATCATTTGGGAGCCTGAAGCGTGAGGAGTGCTGAAAACTCAAGGCCAGTGTGGAATACATAATGAGTTGAAGGCCAACCCCAACTACATGGCAAGACCCAATCTCCATCAATGAAAAAGAAACACACACACACACACACACACACACACACACACTTCATAGACACAAATAAACCAAGTATTGATGTATAGTGCATACCCACGATATCACCCTGTATCACCATTAGCAATGCAAGATAGAGGGGTTAGGGAATAGGAAAAGGAACTGGTTCAAGGCTGACCTAAACTATAAAACAAGACTCTGTTCACAAAACTAAAAGAAAGAAAAAGATGTTAAAAGGACAAAAATAGTTACACCACAAGATTCAGAATACTGTATAATAGTAAATATATAAAAATTATGTTGCCATTTTTAATTATTAAATGTTAACAAACATGAAACTGAGTAGATTCTTACTGTAGTGGTCAGTCATAATATTCTGAAGGATGAATATACTCTCTTGTTCTGTTGTTTTTTGTTTTTATCAGTGGGATTTTTTGTTTTTATTTTTTGAGACAGGGTCTTGCCATTAGTCCAGGCTGGCCTTGAACTCACTGTGTAGCCTGGCTGGCCTGGAACTCAGTGATTCTTCTGCCTCAGCTTTGCAAGTGCTGGCTTTATAGGCAGGCATCATCACGTCCAGCTTCTCTCTGGTTCTGTGGCAAACACATTAGTGCTTAGAAATTTTTTAAAAAGCCAACTAACATCAAATAATATCAAATTTGAAAATTAGTCTTTAAGTAAATGTGGTACCCATGTTATTTTTGTTACAGAGAGAAGAGGTATTCTCTTATTGAGACTTGTAAAGTCATAGAGTGTCTGGAGATTTACTGTATCCATTACGCTGCTGGATCTCATGACACTTGTTTTGTTTTCATTATTTTCTCTGAAGAAGGTAGGAACTGTGTTTTCTTTCCATAGATTCTTCATACAATTGTAATTTTCTTGTCTGTGAACTTAATCAAATGTGGATAGTATCTGATATGAATATTTTAAAGTGTCACATGTTTCCAAATATTTGTTACTTAAATATTTCATATACAAAAAAAATGTACTCTAAAACTTATACATGTTCACTGGAAAGAAAGGAAAAAAAATATTATCACCTTGAAATACTACTTTTCATACTTTCTGGTAGTCTTTCTAAATTTATTAATAAGTTTATTGTTTATAACATGTAATATAATCTATATGATTTTATTAATTGTGGATAGGAATGATAGCATATAAATGCTTTTTGGCGGTCCTGCCGCCTTAATTTAGCAATGTATTGTGGCATTTTTCATGTCTGTAAATATCATCCAAATCATTATCTTTAATGATCATATAATATAATAGTTTGAGGATTATGACGTATATTATATAACCACTTTCCTGTTGAATATATTAAATGTTTATAAGTTTTCCCTGTGGTAAACATGACTTCATAGAACATACTGGTACATACATCTTTGTTCTCATGTCTGAGGATTTTTAGAAATATTTTCTAAGGTAAACATGGTAGAAACTTAGTTCTTAAATGTGCTTCCTGATGAAAAGAGTATGGCATATAACAAGAAAATACTATTATTTACTATCTTTGAGATTTATATATCAGGGTGTAATGCTGTAACCAGATTCTGGTATACTGGGAACTCCTTCAAGAGGTTGTTTCTAGGTTCTTTCTGTCCTGAACAAAGAATTGCTCGAGGCAAAAATACAAAAGGTTATGAGTTTTATCTTTATTAAAAGTAGGGAAAAAAGCATGCTATACAGAGCTATTGCAGGGCAATTAAAAGTGGGAAAAGAAATGCACTATGTGCAGTGAAAGCAAACCACTGTGAGCCACTGGCAGCCACCTTTCATATCTCTCACTCCTCAGACTCTTATGTCAGATCTAGGTCATCCTGGCAAAGACCTGCTTGAGTTCTCAGGAGAATTAGAGATAACACTTTCTGACTGGCTGCAGGTACAGGGCTTTGCTGCATGTTTCCTAGGTCTCTTTGATTGATAGGTCATACCCTCTTCCCCAGCCCGCTGGCCACACCTAATTTCCTACCTCAGAAGCATACCAACATTTTAGACATCAAACTTATTTGACCACATAATCCTTTGTTATAAATAATGTGTCTTTGGGATACAGTTTGGAAGGAGGGAGAAGGTGGGAAATCTGTGTTTTCCATCAATTTTACCATGAATCTAAACCTGCTCTGAAAAATAAACATTGTTTTAAAAGAAAACAAGCAAAAGAAAAACATTTTAAAGGAGAAATACTTGAAATGCCATTTTAACAGGGCTGGGGATTTATAGCTCAGTGGTACCACTACCCGCCTTGCAAGTGCAAGGACCCAAGTTTGATCCCCAGTACCAAAGTATATATATATATAATAAAATTTAGATCACATACATGCATGCACACACAAATATCTGTTGACATTCTTCTACACAATTTTGAAAATGCTACCTTATGATTTCATCTTCTTAAAAGTATGATTTTTTACTTATGATTTTCCTTGTCTCCTTTCTACCCATGTTTATTTATTCTGTCTGTCTCATTTCTACACACCAGACATCACTCCCTTATTCTTTAGGATTGTAGAGTGGCTGAGAGTCCATTTTCTCATGGCTGCTTCAGACTAAGGAGGGGCATTGATTCCGCCTAGTCTGGGATCAAAAGTCTCACCCTGACTAATCTAAAGGAAACAAAGGGTGATGATGGGCTTCTTTGTTTGATATTTTGTTTTAATGTTTTGTTTTGATTTTATGTGTTTTATCTTTCCACATAAGGCTGGTAATGAACCCCCATGTACCTCCTTAGTAATTATACTTCCTTATTATTTTAAAAGAAATCTTAGACATTATATCATTTCATGTTAATATTTCAATGTATATACTGAGTCTAGATATAATTTTTATCTAACACGTATTTTACTTCTGCCAGTTTGCCTGGCTGAAATCACACTATAACATGCTTATAATATTATATCAAACATCAGCATTAGCTAAGATGAGTGACACTTTTTATTTTTATTTATTTATTTTTGTTACGGGGATCAAACTCAGGACCTTGCACTTGGGAGGCAAGCGGTGGAACCACTGAGCTAAATCCCTGGCCCAATGATATTATTTCTAAATGACCCTTAAAAGAATTTAATGATAATAAATAAGTTGTGAGTGAAACTGTGTTACTTATCTCTTGTATTAAAAGCAAAATGTTTCTCCTGCACAAAAAGCCTGTGTCCTTTTTTTTTACTAAAGTTGCCTTTTAGAAACTATAACTGTTTTATATTATGTTAATTTTATTTTTTTATGCTCAGCATGTACTGTTCTACATTGGGAGTTAGTCAACTGTACGATACTAACATGGACTTTCCCAAGCCTTTTGAGTAAAACTCCACATATACTTTCTCCAGATTCTTATATGTGATAATCAATTTAAAAAATTGTATTTTACTGTCAGTTGCGCAGGCAGTTATCAGCAGATTTGCCGTTAGCTTATCCCCTGTTTTTCAGATGCTTGCATCCCTAAATATATTTTGGCACTTACCAAAATTAATTTGGGTTTTCAAATGATAACTGGATCATGAAAACTTTATTAAAAAATTCTAAATGTATTGAACTATCCTCCATTTCACTGTGTTTTATATGCCCTTTAAAGTTTTATATGTCTAGTTGCATGTACAGTACAGTCCCTAGGCATCATTGTTATTAGAATATTTTTTATAAATGAGTAATGAAAGCCAGCATTCAAAACAGATTGACTATTGCTCTAGGTGTAATGGCTTGCTATGGTTGGTATCTAAAGGTGCTCATGATTTAAACAAAATATGAAGTCAAGAAGTAAAGCAAAGGGAAGGATGTTCCAAAATGAGCTTACAAGTTTAATTCTAAATAGCAATCACATTTTTAGCTTGAGGCCTTCCTAGCAGATCCTAAGTAATGATTAGGTGAGGTTATAGGGCCCAGGCAAAGCCTGGGGACATCAGTGCTTCTAGCCAGTCATTTGTCTTCAAAAAATAGCTCTTTGATTGTGAGCTAGTATTTGAAATAATAAAGGGAATCAAACTTGAATCTTTCACTTTATCCCAAGGGTCATCTCAGTAGTCGAGCTTTAATGCTAAATTAAATGTTTGCAAAACAAAGGCCTTTATAGATTTTTTCATTTCCTTTTATTTTATTTTATTTTTACTGTTTTGGCATATAGTTTTTTCATGTATTTACAGAAAGAATTATGTATAAAAATTGTAACTCCAAGAAAGTAATCACTGTTTAAAATTGTTTTCAACTATTTTAAACATCTATTCAAGGGAGGTAAGAGTTTTTAAAACAGAATGAATTTCATCTCTCATTTTTATTAGAATTTCATGGGAAATATATAGTTGAGAAACTTCCTGTGTATACTACCCTTTGCTAGACTGATCTGATAAAATATGAACTGCTTAGAGGGCACATTTTGAAAGCCCTAAAGTCTCGAGTTTATGTTTAATTACGTATTTTCAGTTATTGAAACCTCATTTTCAATTTGTCTTTATAGCTATTTTCTGTCTTTAATGAATACTTCATGCCTTAAAGTTGTAGGAATTATACAACCCCCCTTTTTTTTTTCCTTTTCTTTTTTTTGGGGGGGGGGTTTTGAGACAGGGTCTCACTATGTAGTTGAGACTGACCTGGAACTCACTTTGTAGCCCAGGCTGGTTTTGGACTCACAGGGATCCTCCTGCCTCAGCCTCCCAAGTGCTGGGATTACAGGCATGCGCCACCACACCTGGCTACCCCCTTTTAAAAACAGGCAGATAGTAACATGACAAGTAGTAAAAGGTAGGGAATTCACAAACTAAAATATTTACTTATCCAGTTTATAGAATAATGATGATAGTAAAACAAGTAATATAGTAGTATCATCTGATAATATAAAGAATAACTAAGCTTTAAATAGAATTTACCATATGCCAAAACTATTCTGATCCTATTCTAACTCATAACTCTATTATTGTCTGAATTTTATAAAATAAGAAGCTGAGGCAATGAGATAAAAAGATAATAAGAGATAATGTATGGTGGTGTAAACCTTCAATCTCAGCACTCCAAGGCTGAGGCACGAAGCTTTAGGTTTGAGGCTACATAGTGAGACCTGGTCTTCAAAAATAAAGAGTGAGAGAGAAAGGAAAAAAAAACAGAGAGAGGGAAAGCTACAATTTAAAATAGTACTTCCCCAAACCATTTCTTAACCCATTAACAACAATTCACTTATTTTCCTTCATGAAACATAAATCTTATTTTTAAATTTTGTATAGTAAATTAAATAACTAAAAATAAAACAAGAGTACAGATCATTGATTTTTTTAAACTACCCTCTCTTTTTTTGTTCCTAGCTAATATTATTTTGAAATAATATTAGTTCATTTTATCACACAAATATTTATTGGAGGCCTGTTATGTGTCAGATGTTTTTCTTGGGGCTGTTGGCACAAATAAAACATTTCCTTCAGGTGGCACAAATAGAATAATTGAATTTGTTTAGGTCTAAATGCTCACTAAGATTGTTTACCACTCTTATTAACTGATCTCTTAGTATGTTTAGATTTGCAAGACTACTCTCAAAAACATCTTTTTATAATTTAATTTAGTGTGTGTGTGTGTGTGTGTGTATGTGTGTGTGCGTGTTTCCAGGGTCTCATGCATACCCCTGGATCTCAAAAGCTTTGTAATTCTTCTAAGGCACCAAGCCTATAAAATGCATGAAGTAGGTATTTATTCTGTAACCTCAGAGAATGCCCACTGTGGTAAGAAAGTCAGGCAGAGCATTATGAGCCTTCATTCAAAAATGCTGTGTATGAAAATGCTGGGCATGAAAATACTCCAAAGATATACCATACTTTGGAGGAAGATGGAATATATTAGGTCTTTAAAAGGAAG